CTTTGACCACATTTAAGCTACTTCGTACCTCTTACTGTTTTCGAGAGCCCTGTAGTGAAAAACGAATTTGTAACATCCTCTATATTAGCAGGACCATCGAGAATCATATTTAATTTAATCAAACACTTTACCAAACATTTGGAAAGAATCAAGTTTTTGTCCAGTTTTTAACAGTTAAATTAGTAAATATCGCCTCACTAATATCATGTGCAATTTTATTAGAAGTGTTTGAATATTTATATAATTTTTTATATAATTGCGTTAAAATATAATGTTTAAATCATTATGGTTTTATAAAAGGCCGTTGAACATCTACCAATTTGCTGTGTAGACACAGTAGATATAGGAGGTCCATCATGGTCTTGTGGATGTAGTCTATATTTATTTCTCAGAGGCCTTCGATAAACTTCCTTATAATTAGAGTTCGGGGTTTTCGTCGGCTAGTCATAGGCGTGTTCGTCGTAAACAAATAAAAAAACAGGTAGGTATAAATAAAAATAAATAAGTTTGCGTATTTTATCAGCGAAAGGTCTTTCGACATTATTAGAATATTAAAACTTCTTATTTATTACATATCTGGTCGTTTGCAATGTACAAGGAATTTTTATCGAAACTTGTGATTTTGTCTAGTGTACCTCAACATTCAGTATTGGAGCCGCTATTATTAAATATTTTTATTAATGACTTATTAAAAATATTTAGCTGGCTACTTACTGAGTTATTACAGCTAGTGCAGCTTTGAGAAAATGGAGAATTGATTAACATATCACTTCTAGGTATAGCCAAATAGAAGGTGTTGTTCTACGAACATTAATACTAAACTTTTGTAAAATGATCAACTATTTTATGTAGTAACAACACAACTATTTAAAGTACTAAAGTTTCCCGGAAAAATTTCAGGATTTAGTTCACTTTTAAAAAGTTTTATAAAACGCCTGTGTATATGTCATAGTATTCCATTGCATTTAATGACGAGATCTCCAAACTAAAATGCATACTCTAAATTTGATCATAACACACTACATTGGAAATATTTGATTTATCGTCATTTTTATAAATTGAACAAACTTTAGACTTTAGACAATTTCCATATTTCACGCATGGTGGACATTTTCAAACACTTATTTACAAGCACAGTTAAGAGACACACAAGAACTCACACTCTATTGCATGGAACTGCAGGGATATTATCACGACCTGGAGGTAGTTTAGATTTCAGTCGTTTCAGGACGTTATGGACTTCAGTCTCATCAAAGTTACCAACATTTAACATTATTGTTAGATCCAGTAACACTTTAGAAGACATTGTCGTGGAACTACTACGATACCCGAAAGTAGAGTACACATTCTGGCCAGGTTTCCTTCTCTGGTTATTTATCTGTCTATACCCAGAGTTGACGTTCGTTCATACGTCGTTTATCTGTGCAGGTGGCTCTCTTGCGAACCTGAGTTTGGGGACGCTCCATTGGCAGTGGCTGGATTCCCCGTCTTACATTTTCGATATTCTTTTAAATTGACTAGATAAATGATGAACAGGGTGTTAGCTTCTATTAGGTCCGAATTTTGTCTCCGAAATTCGGATTCAATTTGGGCGTAGAGGCCCTCATTTCAAATTATTGGAATGTGGTCTACTGCGTTGAGATAGTTTAGACTACCTGGAGTGGAAAATTGGAAACATCGGTGAAAACGTCCAATTCCCGTGTCGTTTCGTTCGGAAGGGGGCTGTTGATGGCATTGGCCTTTGTCAACGTCGATCATCATGGAGACTGATTTGTGCCTGCTTGGATCGGTTTAGAGCAAGACGACGGGATTTTGGAAAGATAGGTGAAAAATTAAATTTCTCGCCGCGCCTGGACTGAAATCGATTTAGTGTGAAGCGGTTTTTTCCACATTTTTTGAACTCGAATGGAAAGTGTGGTGAATTTTGAAAATATTATGTTGCCGACATTAATATCAGAGAATTATATGCAAGACAGTAAAGAGTTTGTTCACATCATTAATATACCCTGTATAACACACTGCGACCAATTTTGTCATAATATAATTATTAATTACACTTCTACCAACATCCTAGGAGTGCACAGTATTAAAAATACTTTCGTCGACATCAGCACTAGCAAATAAGGTGATCGTAAATGTAAGATTAAAATTTGTAGATAAGATAAAACAAAGTAATAAAAATACCTAAACAGTCTTACCGAAGGTGGCAAACATTAGATTAAAAACATTTTTAAATGAGCTACTATACAACTGTACAGTCATTTCGTTAGTTGGTAGAATATTCGGTAAATGTGTATTTTGTCAACTAAGCTATTCAGCAAAAGGGTAGATCAAAAGCATTTCTGTTTATAAAATTGTACAAATTGCATAAAAGGTACTTATATGTTAAAGTCTTGTTTTGCTAATTTAATTTTTTAAATAGAAGATTTCATACTATTTTTATTTGCGACTTATTTTCATACAATATTGACATTAAAAAGGAAAATAAATTTACCTGAAACTAACTGTAGATATCCAATAAAAAGTGCTATCACCTTGTACATAATTACAGGCTTCTAAACACAACAATGGAATCGAAAAACACCTCGATTTTTTCCTCATCTAAACAAATGAATGATTAATTGTTATCTGTTGATAAATAGGATGAAGTTACATGTGATTCTCAATGTGCATTTAAAAAAATATATCTAGTGTATCAGAATGTAACATTGCAATGTGAAGATTTTCATACGCAAACATTGCCTTTTGAAATATAGGGTGTTGAAGCTTATAAAAATATCTCGGAATATCTTCTGAACAAATGAAACGAAAATATTGAATTTTTGAAACGAAATTCCCTATATGCAACACATGAATAAAATAATATTCAACGTGAAAAAGTAAGTCTCAGTTTAGTGACAATAAAAACAATGGTTTTCCCAGT